TTTGATGCTCAGCGTAACCCTCGGCACACTGCCACTCAAACATCCAATCACAGAGCTTGAGGACGAATCATGGGGTTTGTCGGTTTTTTCAAGCAAAGCGGAGAGAATACTTACTTCCGGGTGTAAAATTCTCTAAAGCAACTACTATGAGCTGCTCTGACCCTCGGTCCTGACGGACTCCAACTTGTGTTTATTAATCAAACAAATAAATAAACACAAGGATAATTGTGTGTTATTTAAGCAATCATACACGAGAGGCCGTTCTTTAACGTCATTATTGGTACGACAGTACTGCGGCAGGACCGAGGCGCTTGCGCCGAGGTCCGTACGCCTGTATTGGAGCAAGCAGTTTGCTTTTCAGGCCAAGGGTATACCGTTTTTCTCAGACGCGGAGGGATACTGACTTGTTGTGAAAAGGCACGTTCTATTTGACCGTTCTTTGATCGTGGAATCAAACACGCCTATTGACCAATCAGAGAGCTTGCTCACACCTATGTGTTATAGAATGTTGAGTAAATAACAGTGTGTGGTTTAGAAAATAATACAAAATTAGAAGGAAAAAACGATGAAACAATACAGATTTCAGTATTCTGAGCCCCTACTCTCCCCCTAACTGATGGCAACAAAAGTCCGATATTATTCAATTAAAATGAGTGGTGCACGATAATTATCGGCCCGATAATTATCGGTCCGATATTAGGAATTATGACGTCATCCCGATAAACCCGATACAAGTATTAATAGCCCCGATAATATAAAATATATTTTTTGGGTAAAAAAAAAGAAAAAATACTGCGGTGTGGGTGGATTGGGATGAGGGGCGCTTGTTTTTCACTCGGCTCCTCCCGTTTTGCCAGTACTGTGGTATTAGTGGTTTAGGAAGAGGGGAGTTTTTCACAAATCCAGCGCTCCCTAACTAGAGCTGTGACGTAAATGGTGTGTGGCCCTGAAGCCAGGACAGTAAACAAACATGTCGACTCGTCGGTAGTATGGGACTATTTCAAAGTTTGAGAGTTAGATAGTTCGCTTGCTATTTGTATTAACAAATGCAATGCAGAAGTTCCACGAGGAGGGAAAAAGGCAACGAGCTATAATACTTCCAACCTGATTAGTCACCTGAAACATCGCCATCGCTACGATGGTGTGTTAAAAGCGTACGAAGACGCCTGCGCTGCTAAACTAGCGGCGAATCCAAAGCCAGCTGCAAAGGCACCGGGGCTTTTACCTATCGACGAGGCTTTTGAAAAAGGCAAGAACTTTATTTGGGAAAATAAATATGGTCACTTTGAAGAGTCAAAACTGTTCTTGGCTTTGTTTTGTTCATAGTAGTAATGCTCATGTCATTTGCTCACTACTAGTCTTTTTTTTACCACCAGGTGTGCAAAAACTACAGGTACATTTAATATATATATATATTATATTATTATCGGTTATCGGTATCGGTATCGGTCTTGAGAAGCAGGAAGTTATCGGTATCGGTATCGGTTTCAAAAAACCAATATCGTGCATCCCTAATTAAAATAAAGAAGTAAACACAGTACGTTTGGCTTGATATTGAGTAAGAAAAAGGTTGATAAACGCTGTGAGAATGGGTTTGCGCATTTCGCCGCGATCCCAACTCATCTATTACCAACGTTCAGGGAGCTCTATGCAAGTCAATGGGACTCCCTGATAGTTGAAACTCAACGCTAAAGGGCCCCCCCTTGCGTTGGAAAGTGACGACAGGGACCCTGACATAACGTCAACATAGGCCGAGTTGGGAGTGAGAATGTGTTGCTTAAACTACAGATGAACTATACACTTTTGCCTGGGAAGATTTCTTGATCGGAGCCTTGGTATCCTGGTGGTTTTTCTGGTGTATGCAGCGTATAAGATGAACAACAGCAACAACTGCCAATGTACAGGTGGGCTACCTGTCATTTTGTTCATTTGATAGAGTGTACTGTATGTAGCCTTATAACTAGTGGAGGCACGACCAGTTACATTTAATTTGAAGAATAAAGTCTACCAAATGAATTCAAGCTATCTCCATGTTCTGATAGTGCGCCCCACTTACTAAGGGCGCTGGAAACGTTTAAGTGGTCTTGATGTTACAATATGAATTCTCTTTAGCTAATGGTGGTTTATTTTCCACCATATGTCTTTTTACAGATTCAGGATGTTCAGCTGCTTTAACCCCGAATGTTCTGGTGAGTATTGTCAAGTATTGCACTACTACAACAATGCATATTTCAGCAACAAGGTAACTTATATTGGCTGAAAATAGCAACACCTTTGCAAATAAAAATGAAAAACATACTGCATTCAGTAGCTGTTTGGCCTTTTCCATTACTGGAACTTATCAACCCATAACCTCGACTTTGGGTTTAAGTTCTTCCTCTAATTTGAACTGTTTTGACTTTTTGGAAAATGTAATATAACTTTTTATCACCAGGATTATCAAGATCCAGACAACCTCCATTACGCAGCTTTGAAGGTCAACAGATCCACAAGACAGAGGGACACCGCACAAAGTGAATGCGTGTACTCCGGTGTAAGGCAGTAAAGCTAATGATATTTCATTTGCACTTTAAAGTGTCTATCAAGCTATTAAATGTCTTTCTTTGTCAAATTCAACCTTAATATATTTGATGTAAAGTCTAGTCTTGCAATAAACTAATAAAACAAGTGCTCTCAATGGCGAGGTTCAGCTTTATCATTAAGAGTGTGTACATGATAACAGAAAATTACCACGCCCATCTATTTAACACCCTGTACTGACAAGGGGACACCCAAGTTATATCAAATGTTCAAGGCATCATTTAAGCCTTGACACTAGTACAATGAGCACACTGAGGGGTGAGTCAATGTCATGAGGCAGTAGCAGCACATTGTTTGCTTAGATTTGTTTGTTAAAAAAGATCTGTAAGGTGTTTCTTTGAGCCTCTGTGTGGTTGACACACAGAAATTATCACTCAATCTACTCTGGTCACGTACTTCACTAGGACCCTCAGCTCTTTTTTGCCTATGTGGTTTCAAACAGGAAGTCTCTGCAGTGTTCTCATGCACAGCAGCCGATCAGTATGACTCTTAAGGGCAGACTGTTTTAGTAGTACTTCAATTCATCTGTCTCAAAAGCCTTTGGGGTTTGATACAATCATAAGTACAGAAGCAATATACAAACAACAACTCTTTAACATTTATGTATATGCAGTCAATCGTGAAATAGTTTTTGTCTGTATCCTTTAGCACTGTAACTCTATTGCCAACAACCTTTGAAGGCAGCTTTACGGAGTAGCACTTTGCTGAACGATGTCATAAGCAACGTTACACTGCAAGCAAAACATATCAGTTTTAGCCATGCTAATGACATGGCTCTAGATATGTCCATGTCGATTGGTCAAATGGTCCAACACTTTGATCTATCTCAACAACTATTGGACAGTTTGAAATTAGATGTAGTGCATGCACCCATCATGCCCACACGATGAATCATACTGACTCTGGTAATAAAGGGATCTTTCCTAGAGCACCACCATGACATTGACCTTTTTATTTTATGCAACAACTCAAAAACACTAAAAATGGTTCTTATAAAGTCACATTTTGTCACATTTAAAACGTAGTTGAAATACCATTTAGAGTAGTACAACAAAACAATAGATGGAAAATTGCAAATGGCATCTTGAAACATCAGAAACCAACAATAGTAGTAGTAGTCAAAGTAGTAGTAGTCGAGGTAGTAGTATAAATAAAGACAAATATGTCTAAGCTGGTAGGCAGGTTATACAAGTATTTACGTTTTCAGCTAAATTATCAACAGAACAGAAGGATTTGTTAAAAAATATTATGATGCATGTGAAAGTATATCAGCCTGACATAACATAACGTCAGTTCCTTGCCCTTTCTATTGGCTGGGCGAATTGCAAACCACGCCCGGTAAAACTCTGAAAAGTTTTTTGAAGCCGCCATTGTATTTGCTGGCATTATCATTATTAGCATTAGCCCTGCGTATCAACTGAGAGAGAATAACGACTGGCTACACAAAAGAAAACAGCGGCGTTCTGACGATTTACTCGGAAGGCTTCAGTAGAAGCTGCTGGGTTGTTTGCGGCCTGCCAGTAAACCCAAAGCAGAAGAAGATGAAGTGACGTCAGCGGCTCATTTGCGTAATCTTCCCTCAGGAAAAAGTACTCCGGTGTGAACGCGATTGGTACTCAGTGCCCTGGGCTACTAAGTGCCGGGGATACTAAGTGCCGGGGAAACTAAGTGCCGGCACTAAGTACGGCAAAGTACTTGTGAAAGCGGCTATTGTGTTAATTGTCTTAATATACCTTTTGTTGGGGAATAATTTGCTTAGGTATTTAACCTTTGACACAGTTCATCGTTTTCTCCTTTCACTGTCTCTTTTCCCATGGCATAGGTCTACGGCCTTGGGTATTGCTGCTATCTCTCTTATGGAGGGCAGCTTGGTCATAAACTGCAACAACAATGCACCCATTAGATAGTTTATTGTTCAAGGACATCTAGAGGCCCTTCTTTTCTGGAACGTAGGTTCCCTGGCGCGTTCTTTTCTATGGACGACAGCTCTAGTTGGATTCAGGGTCCATATTTGTTTGGTCTCGCTGATGAGGAATGTTGATTATTACACTCTGAACTAGTTAAAACCTTGGTCTGCAGAAGAGATCTTCAGAATTGATTTGGCATCCGCAGTGTCACCTCATGGCGGCAGCACATGTCTTGTCAAATGGCCGTAACTCCATAATAAACCATCAGTGTTTGCCATTAAAGTTCCAGCTCTCCCCGTGTCTCTATGAGTTTCGTCTTCATTACTTCAGAAGTTTCCGTCACACCTTTCACCGAGTGAATCTTCTAAAGAACCAAATCTGAACATGTGGTCAGGTTTTTTATAAGTAGGATGAACAATGTCACCTCAAGCTGGCCAATCAAAAGCAGTCTTGTGTCTTAAGAGTGGAGAGAGTATCGAGATCATTTTCACTCAACTCAAGAATACGAACAAGATGACGTCTCCAAAGTTGGTCTTTTATCTGACGTGTTTGTTCTTGGGAAAAATTGGTGAGTTGTGCAGATCCAAGTTCTATCTTTTCGCCTTTTGCAACTCTTAATGGAAATGCTTCCAATATTTTTGTATTTAAATATTCTGCAAAATTCATCGGAACTAATTGTGTGCATTCATTTAATTTCAGTCACTGCTGACCCAAAATTACCCTCAAGTGTTCGTCAAGAGAAACATTTTGTATCAGCTACTGCTGGAGAAAATTTGACTTTGCAATGCTTCTATGAAGTTGGTGATACCACTTGGCTTTTCTGGTGCAAACAAAATCCGGGACAGAAACCAACTCTCCTTTCTTCCATCAATTTGCCTCAAACAAAAAACTATTTTTATGAAGAACTCAAGAAAAATGTACACTTCACACTGAATAGTGGAAAAAGTAACTTGACAATTTTGGACTTGCACATTTCAGACTCAGCTACTTACTACTGTGCAACTCTCTCTAACATTGGCTTGACATTTGAGGAGGGCTCTATTATCAGTGTCAAAGGTTCTGGTTTGAACCCCCCACCTTCGGTCCATCAGTCAGCATCTGAGATCATCCAGCCGGGAGGCTCTGTGACTCTGAACTGTACAGTACACACTGGCAGCTGTGATGGAGAACACAGTCTTTACTGGTTCAAACACTCTGAGGACTCTCCAGGACTCCTTTACACCCATGGAGGCAGGAATGATCAGTGTGAGAGGAAACCCAACACACAAACACACACCTGTGATTACAACCTGCCAATGGAGAACCTGAATATTTCTCATGCTGGGACCTACTACTGTGCTGTTGCCTCATGTGGACACATACTGTTTGGAAATGGGACCAAGCTGGACTTTGAAGGTAAGCACATTTCTAAATTATTTAATGAAAAGTAATGAAAGTCTAATTTCCGATCACACATTTTAAACACAAAGCTAAGTTTCCGTTGTTGGTGTTTACTCTCTACAGATGAGGTTGACTGTCTTGTGTATTTCTTGAGTGGATCTTTGGCATTCAACTCCATTCTGGTCATTTTACTGGCTTTCTTAGTGCACAAGATGAAAAAGAGAAACACCTGCCAATCAATGGGTAACTTGTAATTATTGTATACGTCCGAAAGATTGTTTGCAACCAAAGAAACGTGTTGAGAAATACAAATTATGTCTTTCAAATGTCTTTCCAGAGTCTGAAGCAAGATTATCAACTCCCTCTACAGCAAATGCAGAGGTATCATTTATGTAAATAAATTACATTTTGTAATCAAATGTTTACTCCTGTTCAATATCTTTTTCCATTTCTATATATTTTGTTACCAGGGTTACCAGGATGCAGGCAGCCTCCATTATGCTGCTGTAAGTGTCAATGTGCCCAACAGATCAAGACGACAGAGGAACATCCCCAATGATGAATGTGTGTACTCTGCTGTTAAGCTGTAGACAAACCATGTTTCATTACTTATGTTAAATACAATTGGATTTAGTCATGTTTTTAAATTGATATAGATTTAGAAGTAGATTTCATAATGTTGTGCTTCAAATGCTTTCTTACGGAGCCCCTAAAGGGACATGGAAAAAAAAAAAAAAAAAGAGAGAGAGAGAGAGAAAAAAAATAAAGTCAGGAAAACGGGTTCGTTTCTCGTGCGCACGAGAAACGAATCCGTTGTGTGTAGAGGTGTGTGTGGTTAAAACGTAACAGCCTGTAACAGCCTTATAGCTGTTCAGTGAAGGTAAACACAGTGTAGGCGGTGCGTAAAAGCTCTTTGAGCGCTGGTGCTGCTCTTCTCTGAGTTACACGTCCCGCTGCCTCCTGGAGTGACCACACACCCCTGGCCGAAATGTCCTTAAAGTGAAGTCAGAGTACGAAATATATCTCAAATAATGTATTCACTGTCATTTCCCCATGTAAACATAACAGTCTGCAATTAAATGGCTATCTCCTGTGTCTTCACTTCCTCCTTGGCGCACTGGTAACTTTCTCAAAAAAAAGTGCGCACGAGAAAGTTTATCGTGCAAGCGAGATACTAACCCGTTATCCTGACTTTTTTTTTTCTCTCTGTTTTTTTTTTTTCATTTCCCTTTAGGGGCTCCATACTTTCTTATGTCCATTGTATTCAAAACTTGCTCAAATATGAAATGGACACTTTGATCTTGAGACAATACATCAGCATGTATATTCACTTCCTCAGCAATATCTATTTTTTTACAATATTCAGACAACATTTTAATGTTCTAAACCACAATAAAGAAATTTGTATTTTACAAGAGTATGTAGCTTTGATGTACCTTCTCTGATCCACACTCCTATGGAAATCTAATAGATTTAATATAGCAGTTTGACTACAGGGGTGTCCACATTTTATTCTGTGAGGGCCACATACAGAAAAAGATACAAAGGGCTGTGCCGCTCACTAGAGGTGAGGTATATTGCCTTATCAGTGAAGTTATAAGTTAGCAAAATCAATCAAATGTAGGTAAATCACGCTTGATACTTGAAAATGCTGTAAGAAACACAACAGCCTACATCACAGCTCTCCATAGGGTTTCATTTATTTTCTTTGCAGCTCATTCCTTAAAACAGAAGCTTCAGATTAGTTATAAAAATAGGAAATATAAAGGATAGATTTCAACTTGTTATATAATTAAAGGTGGGGTATATCATTTTGGAGAAACCAGCTCGAGTGCTCTAGAATTTGAAATTACACAACCGGAAAAAATCTGCCTCTTCCTTCAGACTTTCTTACAGAGCCCCTCCTCCAACACACACAAACACGCACATGACCAATGAGGGCACGAGATAAGTTTGTGCACAGATGGAAGGCTGACAGGTAGGTAGGCCATCCAGTTATTTTAGCCGGGCCGGCTAAAATGATTGGTCGTGCTTTTTACAGTACTACGGCTTCCACAGATGAAAATGTGTTATGTATTTATTGTCAAAGCATTTAATGTATTCATTGCTATCGGGATGTTAAGAGCATTCCATGGAATATAACAAAAAGTGTATCTCGAGCCGGTTTCTCAAACTTACCTAACCCACCTTTAAGTAATTGGGCTTTTCTTTATCAACTAAGATTTGTTGGAACATTTTCCCAACTTGAATTGACTGAATTTATTTGAAAAGGGGGCTTATTAAAACATGAATACTGTGTAATATCTTTGTACATATACATTTCAGAAGTACGATATATGACTAACACAAGTTTCATTTGTGGGCCATATTTGTTATACTTTTTTAATTAGCTGGGGGCCGTTTCAAAATGGCCATGTTTGGCCCCCGGGCCGTAGTTTGTACACCCCTGTTTTAGGAGTTTAGTTATATTGCATATTGACAGACAAAACGGAGACTGAACAGAAAACCAGTGTTCTGTACTCCAAAGCAGGATTCGGTGTTAGAGAGGTAACTTGAGGGTTAACTCAGCGTTTCCATCCTACAACGCTGTTTCACTTCTTACCAGGGTAGATTGTAAATAAGTTGTTTTCTGCAGTAAAGTTGGGCATTTTACCATGGAGGTCAGAGCGGATTCATTAGCTTTGTAAGCCAGCATCAAGAGGCCATTCAATGAACTGCAGTTTTGTTCTACCTTGCGTTACCTTAATTTTTCAGCACAAGAAGATGATGCTTGTCTACGACATACAAGACACAAAAAGGATGTGCAATGCATATTCACTGGGTAACAGACAACAGTTTCAATGTGTACGGGATTGCTCACACAAAACAAATATATAGTGTATATAAAGTATAAATGAGAGGCCTGCTAACAGCATTGCTCCATTCTCTTGATTTAATGGGGTGCTTTTAGTGCAGAAAAGTAGCCGTAAAGTAGAGGGACTTTGTTTGTTCCATAGGGATGTCACAGTGGGTTGCTCTGGTTCAAAAGTCACTACTTTCAGAACATTTGTATGTAGTATCTATCTTAGTCCAGCAGCCTTGGTGGTTTTAGCAGGATGTAAGTGTTTGCAATTGTACATACACTGAACAAAAATATAAATGCAACACTTTTGTTTTTGCTCCCATTTTTCATGAGATGAACTCAAAGATCTAAAACATTTTCTATATACACAAAATAACCATTTCTCTCAAATATTGTTCACAAATCTGAAAAAATCTGTGATAGTGAGCACTTCTCCTTTGCCGAGATAATCCATCCCACCTCACAGGTGTGGCATATCAAGATGCTGATTAGACGGCATGATTATTGCACAGGTGTGCCTTAGGCTGGCCACAATAAAAGGCCACTCTAAAAATTTTCAGTTTTATCACACAGCACAATGCCACAGATGTCGCAAGTTTTGAGGGAGCGTGCAATTGGCATGCTGACAGCAGGAATGTCCACCAGAGCTGTTGCCCGTGAATTGAATGTTCATTTCTCTACCATAAGCCGTCTCCAAAGGCGTTTCAGAGAATTTGGCAGTACATCCAACCGGCCTCACAACCGCAGACCACGTGTAACCACACCAGCCCAGGACCTCCACATCCAGCATGTTCACCTCCAAGATCGTCTGAGACAAGCCACTCGGACAGCTGCTGCAACAATCGCTTTGCATAACCAAATAATTTCTGCACAAACTGTCAGAAACCGTCTCAGGGAAGCTCATCTGCATGCTCGTCGTCCTCATCGGGGTCTCGACCTGACTCCGGTTCGTCATCGTAACCGACTTGAGTGGGCAAATGCTCACATTCGATGGCGTCTGGCAGGTTGGAGAGGTGTTCTCTTCACGGATGAATCCCGGTTTTCACTGTTCAGGGCAGATGGCAGACAGCGTGTGTGGCGTCGTGTGGGTGAGCGGTTTTCTGATGTCAATGTTGTGAATCGAGTGGCCCATGGTGGTGGTGGGGTTATGGTATGGGCAGGCGTATGTTATGGACGACGAACACAGGTGCATTTTATTGATGGCATTGTGAATGCACAGAGATACCGTGACGAGATCCTGAGGCCCATTGTTGTGCCATTCATCCACGACCATCACCTCATGTTGCAGCATGATAATGCACGGCCCCATGTTACAAGAATCTGTACACAATTCCTGGAGGCTGAAAACATCCCAGTTCTTGCATGGCCATCATACTCACCGGATATGTCACCCATTGAGCATGTTTGGGATGCTCTGGATCGGCGTATACGACAGCGTGTTCCAGTTCCTGCCAATATCCAGCAACTTCGCACAGCCATTGAAGAGGAGTGGACCAACATTCCACAGGCCACAATCAACAACCTGATCAACTCTATGCGAAGGAGATGTGTTGCACTGCGTGAGGCAAATGGTGGTCACACCAGATACTGACTGGTTTTCGGACCCCCCCAGACCCCCCCAATAAAGCAAAACTTCACGTTTCAGAGTGGCCTTTTATTGTGGCCAGCCTAAGGCACACCCAGTGGTGTAGTGGGGATTTTTTTACTGGGGGGACGCTATTTTAAATTAGGTCATCCCAAACAATGCCACACAAGTGCGCACGCGTGCAGTGCACTCACAAAACGGGCAGACAGGTCCACAGAAACTACCGGTATGCCTAGTCCTACTTTAGTTACTGTACTGCAAAAAGCAGACGGCGCTGTGCTCAACACACACACAGACTCAAAACCATGGACACACTGGCACATACGTTACATAAACAATGTATAGGCCTAAATTGCATAAGCTACAGTATTGCAACTAGCAGACAGCGCTGCTTTTCTCTCTCTCTCTATCTCCACTTTCAAATTTCAAACTCATAACAAACAAACAAAATTCCCAAAGTTGTCCTGAAATTAACTTATTAAATTAAAAAAACGAAAAATATATATAGCCTACTAATGCAAACATTGAATCTGGACTTGAAATTATTCTGATTAGGCCTAGCCTACATTGCAAATAAGCAGACAGCGTTGCTTTTCACACACACACACACACGCACACGCACACACACACACACACACACACACCTTGCGTTTTGAAGACTGATAAATCCGAAATGGATGAACAAACTTTTCAGCCCAGTTTCCCAGCTTTGCAGTCTATCCACGGGTATGCCTCTTGTTTCCTCCGCCACATCTCCTCCGTCCATACCTCTGGCAAAGGTGAGCTTGAGCTATTCAGGGGAACGTTGCTAGCGCAGCTAACGTGCACGTTAGCTAGCATTATCCACGTCTTTAGGCGGCTCTTCTGATGATGTACTGTAGTACTAGTAGCAGCTTCACTTGTAGCTTCGGTGCTGCTAGCCTCTTTCTTCTTGTGAATTATATTCTTTTTAGAAAATAAGTCAAGTAAAAAATGTTTGCCTGCAATTATAGAGCTTTTTCGTTAGCGTTCTTGAGGGAAAGAGCTGCCGCAAAATCGGCGGGCGGTAAACTGGCCGTGGGTGTGTCACTGACACACCCCCAGCTCGCCGCGGGGTCACGAGCGTGATGACGAATCATAATTCTTTAAGGAAATCGTTTTTATTTTGTATTATAATTACTGTGAAATGTATTGTGTTTGTGTCATTATTACAACAAATACACACTTGCAACTTATAAGACTGGCAATGATTTTATATTTATTAGACTATTAAAAAAAAGATCATGCTCCAAATAAGTGGGGGTACGGCGTACCCCACGTCCAATGCCCACTACACCACTGGGCACACCTGTGCAATAATCATGCTGTCTAATCAGCATCTTGATATGCCACACCTGTGAGGTTGGATGGATTATCTCGGCAAAGGAGAAGTGCTCACTATCACAGATTTTTTCAGATTTGTGAACAATATTTAAGATAAATGGTTATTTTGTGTATATAGAAAATGTTTTAGATCTTTGAGTTCATCTCATGAAAAATGGGAGCAAAAACAAAAGTGTTGCATTTATATTTTTGTTCAGTGTAGATGCTCCTTAATCCAAAAACCACTTGCAGTGCCCTTAAATAACTTGGAACATTTTATTTGTTTGGAATATTGCTGAATTAAAGGTATTTAAATTAGGGCTGTCAAGTTAACGCGTTAATAACGTAAAAAAAATTAACGCCACTAATTATTTTAACGCGATTAACGCATGTGTATTTTTTTCCTCCGCCGCCCCGTAGTTTCAGAGCGCATCGAGTTTAAAATACCATCTACAAGCTGATGCTGACAGCCCCGCTCCTGCTGCCCGCTTGCAGCAGACCACACTTCCACGCTCACCAGCAGGCACCGACTAGCCATCGGGAGGACCGGGAGGGTGTGTGTATGTGTGGCTCGAACGAGAGAGAGATCTTACGTGTATTGTTGTTGTTAGCATCTGGTGCTAGCTAGCTGCGCTAACGGATATAAGGAGCTGTTTAAATGAAAACAGAGGAGCGACATTTCGCCGACAACTGCGCCGAGCACTTGACTTTATGCAGGTAGCCAGACAGTGGGACATTGTACGAAAAGTCAGCACGGATAGTGCGCGTAACATGATTGCAGCGTCCAGGCAGCTCCCGTTCGAGCATATGCCTTGAGTTGCACATAGCTCCAACGAACACACACACACACACACACACACACACACACACACACACACACACACACACACTTTGTATTGTATTATTGAATGAGAGAGGTTCCAGGTTGAATTGAGGCGAATATTTGTAATGTTCAGAGGCTGTTGTGTTTAATATTCATGAGTATATTTGTCATTGTTCAAATGATAAACATTTGCATAAAGCATATTTGTCCACTCATATGTTGATAAGAGTATTAAAAACTTGAAAAATATTCCTCTAAGGTACATTTAGAACAGATAAAAAATGTGCGATTAATTTGCGATTAATCGCGATTAACTATGGACAATCATGCGATTAATCGCGATTAAATATTTTAATCGACTGACAGCCCTAATTTAAATGCAATTGAATCCATTGGTTTCATATAAAGGAATGGCTCAAATCAGTTTCTCCTTTTTCAGGACTCAATTATCACTAAGACCTTGGCCTATACTAATAGGCGAATGGTAGATAGAGTTTATTTTCGAACTACTTCACTCATACTTCTGAGCCATGTAGACAAAGGGACAGTGTACTGAATGAGAGAAGATGTTTTAACTAACATATATGCATAAAAAAATAAATGGATTTCTGTGTCGCAATCCAATAAGTACCATTCATTTTCAAATAACACCAAACCTGTTGCAGTAACTTAGCTTCAGCCGAAGCCTAAACAACAAATGAAACTAACTTGTTACACTTTCATATTATATTCACAGCATTAATGGAGCTACAGACAAAGCTGTGTGTGTACCCAGAGTTTATTCTCCTTACTTTTAAACATAGCACAAGATAAAGAGCCATTGTGTTCTTCATTTACCTTTCACCAAGTGATTCTTCTCAAGAACCAAACTTGAAACTATAGATGGCTGTACATGTACATGTGTTCAAGTTTTTTTAAGTAGGATGTACAAAGTCACTTTAGGCTGGCCAATGAAACGCAGTCTTGTGTCTTAAGAGTGGAGAGAGTACCGAGATCATTTTCACTCAACTCAAGAATTCAACAAGATGACGTCTCCAAAGTTAGTCTTATATCTGATGTGTTTGCTCTTGGGAACAATCGGTGAGTTGTATTTTTATCTTGCTTTTAATTTTCAGCTACTTTCATGGAAATGCTTTCAATATTTGTTCATTCAAACTTGCTGAATATAATTAATTGTATATTTCCTTTGACTCTTATTTCAGCTCAGACGACTGATCGGAAAATATCTTCAAGTGTTCGTCAAGAGAAACGTTTTATATCTGCTAATGTTGGAGAAAATGTGACTTTGCCATGCTACATTGAAGATGGTTAAACAAATTGGCTTTACTGGTTTAAACAAACTCTGGGACAGAAACCAAAGCTCATCTCTACCGCCTATAAGTATAATGCAAAACCCACTTTTTATCATGAATTTAAGAACAATTCACGCTTCACACTTGATCATGGAAAAAGTAGAAATCACCTGACAATTTTGAACTTGCACATTTTGGACTCAGCTACTTACTACTGTGCATTTGCCCCTCGAAGAAGGCACTACAATCAGTGTCAATGGTTCTGGTTTGAACCCCCCACCTTCGGTCCATCAGTCAGCATCTGAGATCATCCAGTCAGGAGACTCTGTGACTCTGAACTGTACAGTACACACTGGCAGCTGTGATGGAGAACACAGTGTTTACTGGTTCAAAAACTCTGAGGACTCTCCAGGACTCCTTTACACCCATGGAGGCAGGAATGATCAGTGTGAGAGGAAACCCAACACACAAACACGTCTGTGAATACAACCTGCCAATGGAGAACCTGAATCCTTCTCATTTTGGGACCTACTACTGTGCTGTTGCCTCATGTAGACACATACTGTTTGGAGACGGGACCAAGCTGGACATTGAAGGTAAGCAAATCTCTAAATGATTTAATGAAAAGTAATGAATGTCTAATTTCCAATCACACACTTTAATCACAAAGCTAAGTTTCTGTTTTTGGTGTTTACTCTCTACAGATGAGGTCGACTCTCTTGTGTATTTCTTAAGTGGAGCTTTGGCATTCAACTCCATTCTGGTAGTTTTACTGGCTTTCTTAGTGTACACGATGAAAAAGAGAAACAACTGCCAATCAACAGGTAACTTGTAATTATTGTATACGTCCGAAAGATTGTTTGCAACCAAAGAAACGTGTTGAGAAACACAAATGTTGTCTTTCAAATGTCTTTCCAGAGTCTGAAGCAAGATTATCAACTCCCTCTACAGCAAATGCAGAGGTATCATTTATCTAAATAAGTTTAATGTTTTAATGAAATACATGTTTACTCCTGTTCAATATCTTTATCCATTTCTATATATTTTGTCACCAGGGTTACCAGGATGCAGGCAGCCTCCATTATGCTGCTGTAAGTGTCAATGTTCCCAACAGATCAAGACGACAGAGGAACATCCCCAACGATGAATATGTGTACTCTGGTGTCAAACTGTTGACCTACATTGCTAAATTACTTTTGTTAAACAAAATTGGATTGGTGATGTTTGAAATGTGATATAGATTTTAAAGTAGGTGTTTTAATGTTGTGCTTTATGTTTTCTTATGTCCATTGTATATCCTCAGTATTCAAAACTGACTCAAATATTAAATGGACACTTTTGTATTGATACAATACATCGTGTGCATGTGTTCACTTCCTCATAGAAATATATCTTTTTACAATCTTCAAACCTCTTTTTAATCATTTTAATGTAGTTCAAAACCAATCAAATAAAATGTATGCATTTTACAAGAGTAGCTCAGATGTTACTTCTCTGGTCCACACTTTTGTGGAAATCTAATAGATAGAGTATAGCATATTACTTAGGAGTTTAGTTATATTGCATATTGACAGAGACTGAACAGAAAACCAATGGTCTGTACCATTGTACTGTTGGGGTTAGGTAACTCAAGGGTTTTCAGTCCTACAACGCTGGTTCACTTCTTACCAGGACAGATTGCAATGATTACTTGCCTAACAACTCACCTTCTGAGAAACCCTGGGTTGACTTATATATCTGCTAATGTTGGAGTAAATGTGACTTTGCCATGCTACAATGAAGATGATGATACAAATCGGCTTTACTGGTTCAAACAAACTCTGGGACAGAAACCAAGGCTCATCTCATCCGTCTGTCCTTATGATGCAAGACCCACTTTTTATGATGAATTCAACAACAAGTCACGCTTCACATTTGATCACGGAAAAAGTACAAATCACCTGACGATTTTAAATGTGCACATTTCAGACTCAGCAACTTACTACTGTGCATTTACCAATCGATATGTCGTGAATTTTGCCTTAGGCACTACTATCAGTGTCACAGGTTCAGGTTTGAACATCCCACCTTCAGTCCATCAGTCAGAATCTGAGATCATCCAGTCAGGAGACTCTGTGACTCTGAACTGTACAGTACACACTGGCAGCTGTGATAGAGAACACAGTCTTTACTGGTTCAAAAACTCTGAGGACTCTCCAGGACTCCTTTACACCCATGGAGGCAGGAATGATCAGTGTGAGAGGAAACCCAACACACAGACACACACCTGTGTGTACAACCTGCCAATGGAGAGCTTGAATCTTTCTCATGCTGGGACTTACTACTGTGCTGTTGCCTCATGTGGACACATACTGTTTGGAAATGGGACCAAGCTCGACTTTGAAGGTAAGTAATTTACTAGATTATTTAATGAAGATTAAATTATTATCCTGGTTGTTCTACTGGCTTTCATAATAAACAAGATGAAGAAAATGAACAGCTGCCAGTCAACAGGTAACTGGTAATGTTTTTATTGTTTCGTTTGATGATGGCTTTAAAATTAAAACTTATATTTCTGTTTTGCAGTCTTCAACAAGATTTCCAGCTCCGCCCACAGCAGATTCAGAGGTGAGTAAAACAAGTTCACTGGAAATAAAATGCTAAATTAACATTCAGAATCTTTTGTTGCACAATAAATTGTTTCCTGGATATTATTATTGTCAAGATAAAAATAAGGATCAACTGGTATATATATATAAAGTGTTACCAGGGTTACCAGCGAGCAGAGAATATCTACTATGGTGCTTTGGGTGTCAACCTGACAAACAGATCAGGAAGACAGAGGGAGCCGACCTGGAGTGAATGTGTGTATTACAGCGTAAAGCAGTAGAACAGGAAGTAGTACATTTGTACTTTTGAGTCAGACAAGTTGTTCCTTTTTTATTCCTTCTCTGTGGTCTGCAGCCCAAAAAAAAACAAGATCATTCTGTGCTTTGTTAATGTGTATTTTAAGGATAGTAACCAGAAGCCTATCTTTAGTTTTAACATCATTTTATTATTTTTGAAATCCTCCTTGTATTTTAAAACCTCTTAAGCCCCACGGACCCGGTTCCGGGGCCGAAATCGCGTCATTTGCAGGAAACAACGTCTAAGGAACCTTAATATTTAATAAACTATGAATATTTTATATCCATATAATGGGAACAAACTCATTTAACTGATCTTTTTAATGTTTCTTTTTTTTAAAAACACACAATGCTAACAGTGAGCCTCTGAATTAGCCCCGACCGAACAATTCTAACCTATTACTGCACCGAAAATCACTCCTAGCTCCCTTATTACTTATTCTAGCTGCACATCCAACACATCGTTTATGATCGTAAAGACACAGAATCTAACGGTTCCCACCTCAACACTGAAAGATACAAACTTGCGACGTTATCAACAAAAACGTACATCAAAACAAGTGGCGCTCGGTAGCCAACAACGCTAACATGGCTTACCTTCGTCTTTGTCTGGTCTAAACTGGTCTTCAATGGCATTAAAACAATAACAACGATGATGTAGTTAATCCATAGGTTAATATCCAATGTGGCTGTGTCCCCTTTGAAATGTTCTGATAATCTATAAGCAATAAAACTGCAATTCCGTTTTAAAATAGTAGAGCAGGCCATTCCTACGCTCTGTAGCTTGATTGAATGCGCAAGGACGTCACCTTTTTGTTTTAACATGAGTGTGTGCGGGACGATTTCCCTTCGATTCTATTGGCTCTAATGGTCAGACAGAGATGTCACATGTCAAAATCGAACAAGGGGGGCCAGAGATAAGGAAAATCCACCCAAATGGCCCAAGAAGAGGTTTTTTTTGCTAAATCTGTCTGAAAAGGTCAAATATCACTTGTTTTGCATCAATCTTGATACAGGGTACTTATTATATGTTGTACTTTGGATTCCTAAAGCGTTTAGTCTACTAACCTATCATCCAAGGTTAGTTTTCACTATAAGTACAACATATTTTTTGGACGGACACTATAATTTACAGTTTTTTACCATGTTCAATCTGAATTTTCTTTAAAATAAAAAAAACATCTATATTGATTCTGACTTTTCTACATCCAACTCACAGGTTTATCATTACTTTGAGAAAAAAGATTATTAATTTAACCCTTTTAGAAGGGAAGATATGGTCATTTGTTCTGGGAATGTCATTTTCGAGCCTGAAACCTGAAAAACAGGCTTGTGGCTTAAGAGGTTTAACCAGATCCAACATGTATTTTTGTATTTTGAAGTTATTGCATTTATGATCAATAAAAATCAACATTTGGAGCAATATAGTATGTGTTTACTTGACAATCCAACAGCTTTTTTCTTTATTTGCTATTAAAGCTTACCTCAAGTGGCCATTCAATGAACTGCACTTTTTCTTTTCACTTCTGCATTAGCATACTTCTTCTGAACCGGTAGTTGCTGCTTGGCTATGACATACAATACAAAAAGGATGTGCAATGCAATTCTACTGGGTAACAGCAAACAGCTTCAAATTTAAAAGATTTCAGAGGTTTAATGTCATATGTAAACATATAGTTTTCACTTGTACTTACTCACAAAATCAATCTTAAAGGTCCCATATTATACTTTATTTGAACAACATATTATAGGGCCAAATCTATACAAAACATGTCTCTGAAGTGTTTTGCTCAAAATACCAAACAGATCACCCATTGTAGCATGCCTCTATTTCAGCCCTGTTACAAAAGTGCTGATTCTGGGTCTGGCCCTTTAAATGTAACCAAGCTGCTGGCCACGCCCCTTTGGAGCTGCTGCTGGCCACACCCCTTTGGAGCGTCCGCATGCAAGCAGTGAGCTCTGTGAAGAGAAGGCTGTCTACCAGCAGAAACTCAGCTAAACACTGCGGTGATTAAATGCCATATTATGTTCCAAACCATATCAAGCATTATTTCTGAAACAGTATGGAGCTCAAACGCTTTCTCTCTCACAGGTTTACCACAAGGACATTAACTTTTATATTCGGCTTCTTTACACATATTCTCTCCAGGACAGCGTTAGCTCTGAGTGTTAGCGATGCTTGCTAATGTAAACACAGACCATATTACTTCCAGAACACGTTACGCATTTCCGATATGATGTCAAGTCCGCGGCAAATCTGGATCAGCTCCATTACCCCCATTTTTAGAGATGTGGGTAAGGAGGAAAAGGGAGAGGGTTATATTTTCTGACACTTTGTGAGTCTCCTTACACACGAGGGACACATATGTATGTATAAAAGACATCAAAAAGTGCATTTTGCACATTATGTGATTATAAAAAAGCAGGTAAAAGTAAAGCAGAGACTCTTTTTCTGCTTCAAATGGATGTCACAGTGGGTTGCTCTGGTTCAAAAGTCACGACTGACCTTTTGTTGTAGTATCTATCTTAGTGCAGCAGCCTTTGTGGTTTTAGCAGGATGTAAGGGTGTTCTTACATAGATGCTCCTTAATCCAAAGACCACTTGCAGTGCCATTAAATGAGAAGAATATTTATCAGGTCAGATTTAACAATACTTAAACTACAAATATGTTTGTACTTAATTATTATTATGTTTTAATATTGCTGAATATAGGTATTTAAAAGTATTTGAATCGTTTAATCATGGATAAAGGCATGGTAAAATCAATTCCTACATTTTCACAGCAAAATGATCCTTAAGACCTTGGCCTTTAGTAATAGGCCTACTGTAGAAACTGTTTTTCTTTTTTGAACACTTCACTAATCCCGGAATGATTTACATTAGATGATTACAACATTGTTTTATTGACTAGCCAAAGCATATTTTCCACATACTTCTGACCATGTAGACACAGGGACAGTATATGAGAATAATTTGGCAACTTGACACTGACATACTGTATGCATAAACATTTTATTACAGTTTATTCTCCCTACTTTTAAATATAGCACAAGATACAGAGCCATTATGTTCTTCATTCAACTTTCACCAAGTGAATCCTCTCAAGAACCAAACTTGAAACTATAGATGGCAGTGAACATGTGATCAAGTTTTTTTAAAGTAGGATGTACAATGTCAGTTCAGGCTGGCCAATCAAACGCAGTCTTGTGTCTTAAGAGTGGAGAGAGTGTCTAGATAATTTTCACTGAACTCAAGAATTCAAACCATGACGTCTCCAAAGTTAGTCTTATATCTGACGTGTTTGTTCTTGGGATCAATCGGTGAGTTGTATTTTTATACTGCTTTTCCTTTTCAGCTACTTTCATAGAAATGCTTTCAATATTTTTCCATTCAAACTTCTGTACTTGCTGAATACATCCAATGTAATTAATTGTATATTTCTTTTGACTCTTATTTCAGCTCAGACGACTGATCGGAAACTATCCTCAAGTGTTCGTCAAGAGAAACGTTATATATCTGCTAATGTTGGAGTAAATGTGACTTTGCCATGCTACAATGAAGATGATGATACAAATCGGCTTTTCTGGTTCAAACAAACTCTGGGACAGAAACCAAGGCTCATCTCATCCGTCTATCCTTATGATGCAAGACCCACTTTTTATGATGAATTCAACAACAAGTCACGCTTCACACTTGATCACGGAAAAAGTACAAATCACCTGACGATTTTAAATGTGCACATTTCAGACTCAGCCACTTACTACTGTGCATTTACCAATCGATATGTGGTGAATTTTGCCTTAGGCACTACTATCAGTGTCACAGGTTCAGGTTTGAACATCCCACCTTCAGTCCATCAGTCAACATCTGAGATCATCCAGCCAGGAGACTCTGTGACTCTGAACTGTACAGTACACACTGGCAGCTGTGATGGAGAACACAGGGTTTACTGGTTCAAAAACTCTGAGGACTCTCCAGGACTCCTTTACACCCATGGAGGCAGGAATGATCAGTGTGAGAGGAAACCCAACACACAAACACACACCTGTGTGTACAACCTGCCAATGAAGAACTTGAATCTTTCTCATGCTGGGACTTACTACTGTGCTGTCGTCTCATGTGGACACATACTGTTTGGAGACGGGACCAAGCTGGACTTTAAAGGTAAGCAAATCTCTAAATGATTTAATGAAAACGAATGAATGTCTAATTTCCAATCACCCACTTTAAACAAAGCTAAGTTTCCGTTTTTGGTGTTTACTCTCTACAGATGAGGTCGACTCTCTTGTGTATTTCTTGAGTGGAGCTTTGGCATTCAACTCCATTCTAGTAGTTTTACTGGCTTTCTTGGTGTACACGATAAAAAAAAGAAACAACCGCCAATCAACGGGTAACTTGTAATTATTGTATACGTCCGAAAGATTGTTTGCAACCAAAGAAACGTGTTGAGAAATACAAATTCTGTCTTTCAAATGTCTTTCCAGAGTCTGAAGCAAGATTATCAACTCCCTCTTCAGCAAATGCAGAGGTATCATTTATCTAAATAAGTTTAATGTTTTAATCAAATACATTTTTACTCCTGTTCAATATCTTTATCCATTTCTATATATTTTGTTACCAGGGTAACGAGGATGCAGGCAGCCTCCATTATGCTGCTGTAAGTATCAATGTGCCCAACAGATCAAGACGACAGAGGAACATCCCCAACGATGAATATGTGTACTCTGGTGTCAAGCTGTAGACCTACAATGTTAAATTACTTTTGTTAAACAAAATTGGATTGGTGATGTTCGAAATTTGATATAGATTTTAAAGTAGATTTTAGAATGTTGTGCTGTATATGTTTTCTTATGTCCATTGTATCTCCTCAGTATTCAAAACTGGCTAAAATATTAAATGGACACTTTGGTCTTGATACAATTTATGTTGTGCATGTGTTCACTTCCTCATAGCAATATCTATTTTGTACAATCTTCAGACCACTTTTTAATCATGTTAATCTGATTTTAAACCAATGAAAAAACGTGTGCATTTTACAAGAGTAGCTCAGATGTTACTTCTCTGATCCATACTCTTGTGAAAATCTAATAGATAGAGCAGGGGTGCCCAACCTTTTTTGAACCGAGAGCTACTTTTAAAGTTGCCAGTCTGCCGAGATCTACCAGTCCAAATAAAGAGGTGTAGCCATTACTGACAGTCTACTACCAGGTAAATACACACTTCTACTTGTATAAAACTGACCTTTTTACGATTAATACTTCATAAAATACTGCAGATCCTTTATCTTACCTCTTTCTAATCTACACACATACAAGTATTTAACTGAAGTTACACAACAGTGTGATACAGAGTTGGAGTTTATTCACACGTCACATACTACAGTGGGTAATGTTTTCAAGAAACATTGAACAGTGCTGCCACATATGACACAGGGAAAAAAGAAAAGACTCTGAACCCTTTCTTTGCCATTATATAAAAATAGTGTTGCTACAAAAGTATAAATGAGGCTTACTAATAAGACAACTCAGATCTGAAGCTACACAGGAATCTGCTGCCAAAGTGCAATAAAAAAGACAAAATTAATAAAATCAAACCCTTTTTTTGTTGCATTTTAGTAGAGTATAAAAATAAATGCCTTTAAAATAGGATGCAAGCAACACTAGTTTCTTAAACTGAATTGATAATAGACTATAATCAATTTAAGTTTGCATTCTTATACCATTTTGTACAATAATTATAATGAATACGTTCAAACAAACTCAAATTTACAGCTGATTAATAACGGTATCTAACTTGAGTTTTTATCATATCAAAAACCTGTTGAAATGCTACTGTTATTTTATTACGCATCGGCAGCCTCCAGGAATGCTTCTTTCACAACTTCGCCGTCTTTGAAAGACTTCGTGTGTTTCGCAAGAACGTGACTGACACGATAAGATGCTCTGGTAGCAGCCTTGCTCTTGTTGTTGGGACTGGTGAAAATGGACTGCTGTGCATTTAGCTGTCCTTTCAGGCCCCTCCCCTTTTGGAGCGTAGGGCAGAATTAGGAGGGATTTCCGTCTCGTCGCGTTTGTGCACTGTTTTTAAAATGCCGCTCCTAAATTACCCTTCTTCGATAAAGCCACGCTCGCATTGCAGATGAGACAGATGCACTTTGAATTGGAATAGATACAAAAATAATCATCCTCCCACTCGGAGTGAAAATTATATATGTTTTGCTTCTGCCATAATTGCGGTATTTTGTGTGTGCGGACTGTCACTCCTGTTGACACGGACAACGTTAGCGAACTAGTGCACTGCCCACTGCTCACCAGCCACGCCCCGACACATGGGGTCACGCCGGCCAATCACAAAGCTTTGATGCCTTCAAGTGCATTATTCTGGCACAGGAAGATTATGATACAGGACATTAACGATAAAACAGAATATTGTTGTTCTATTTTTAGACACATCTCGCGATCGACTGGGAATCTCCCCGCGATCGACCGGTCGATCGACTGGTTGGGCACCCCTGAGATAGAGTATAGCTGAGAAACCCATGGGTTGACTTTCCAATTTGACAACCAAAGTAGTAGGACAGCTTAGTGAGACGCACACACAAAGGATATGCAATGCATAATTACTGGGTAACAGCCAACAGTTTCCTTTTGTACTTAGGCCTTCTGGAAAAATAGATTTGAATAAATCTTGTATAAAGTATAAATCAGAGGCCTGCTAACAGCATTGCTCCATTCCCTTGATTTAATGGGGGGACTTTTGGCACAGAAAGGTAAAGGTAAAGCAGAGGGACTTTTTCTGCTTCATAGGGATGTCACAGTGGGGCCCACTGGTTAAAAAAACAGTCCTCTCAGACCTTTTTTTGTAGTATCTATCTTAGTGCAGCGGCCTTTGTGGTTTTAGCAGGATGTAAGGGTGTTCTTACATAGATGCTCCTTAATCCAAAGATCACTTGCAGTGTCATTAAATGAGAAGAATATTTATCAGGTCAGATTTAACAATACTTAAACTACAAATATTGTTGTACTTAATATTTTTTGGTTTGGAATATTGCTGAATATAGGTATTTAAAAGTATTTGAATCGCTTAATCTTGGATAAAGGCATGGCAAAATCAATTCCTACTTTTTCACAGCAAAATGATCCTTAAGACCTTGGCCTTTAGTAATAGGCCTATTGTAGAAACTGTTTTTCTTTTTTTAAACACTTCACTAAACCCGGAATAATTTACATTAGATTATTACAACATTGTTTTATTGACTTGCCAAAGAATATTTTCCACATTACTTCTAACCCATGTAGACACAGGGACAGCATATGAGAATAATTTGACAACTTGACACTGACATATGCATAAACATTTTATTACAGTTTATTCTCCCTACTTTTAAATATAGCACAAGATACAGAGCCATTATGTTCTTCATTCAACTTTCACCAAGTGAATCTTCTCAAGAACTAAACTTGAAACTATAGATGGCAGTGAACATGTGTTCAAGTTTTTTTAAAGTAGGATGTACAATGTCAGTTCAGGCTGGCCAATCAAACGCAGTCTTGTGTCTTAAGAGTGGAGAGAGTATCGAGATCATTTTCACTGAACTCAAGAATTCAAACCATGACGTCTCCGAAGTTGGTCTTATATCTGACGTGTTTGTTCTTGGGAACAATCGGTGAGTTGTATTTTATTGTATTTTTATACTGCTTTTCCTTTTCAGCAACTTTCATGGAAATGCTTTCAATATTTTTCCATTCAAACTTCTGTACTTGCTGAATATAATTAATTGTATATTTCCTTTGACTCTTATTTCAGCTCAGACGACTGATCGGAAAATATCTTCAAGTGTTCGTCAAGAGAAACGTTATATATCTGCTAATGTTGGAGTAAATGTGACTTTGCCATGCTACATTGAAGATGGTGAAACAAATCGGCTTTACTGGTTCAAACAAACTCTGGGACATAAACCAAGGCTCATCTCATCCGTCTATCCTTATGATGCAAGACCCACTTTTTATGATGAATTCAACAACAAGTCACGCTTCACACTTGATCACGGAAAAAGTAAAAATCACCTGACGATTTTAAATGTGCACATTTCAGACTCGTCAACTTACTACTGTGCATTTACCAATCGATATGTGGTGAATTTTGCCTTAGGCACTACTATCAGTGTCACAGGTTCAGGTTTGAACATCCCACCTTCAGTCCATCAGTCAACATCTGAGATCATCCAGTCAGGAGACTCTGTGACTCTGAACTGTACAGTACACACTGGCAGCTGTGATGGAGAACACAGTGTTTACTGGTTCAAAAACTCTGAGGACTCTCCAGGACTCCTTTACACCCGTGGAGGCAGGAATGATCAGTGTGAGAGGAAACCCAACACACAGACACACACCTGTGTGTACAACCTGCCAATGGAGAACCTGAATCCTTCTCATGCTGGGACTTACTACTGTGCTGTCGTCTCATGTGGACACATACTGTTTGGAAATGGGACCAAGCTGGACTTTGAAGGTAAGTAATTTACTAGATTATTTAATGAAAATTAAATTATGGCTCATTCCAAATCAAAGTAAACATAAAAACAAAGACAAAAGCTGACCGTTCTGTTTGTGGTGTTTACTCTCTACAGATGAGGTTGACTCTCTTGTGTATTTCTTGAGTGTATCTTTGGCAATCAACACCATCCTGGTTGTTCTACTGGCTTTCATAATAAACAAGATGAAGAAAATGAACAGCTCCCAGTCAACAGGTAACTGGTAATGTTTTTATTGTTTAGTTTGATGATGTAAAATATGGCTTTAGAATTAAAACTTGTATTTTTGTTTTGCAGTCTTCAACAAGAATTCCAGCTCCGTCCACAGCAGATTCAGAGGTGAGTAAAACAAATTCACTGGAAATAAAATGCTAAATTAACATTCAGAACCTTTTGTTGCAGAATAAATTGTTTCCTGGAAACTATTATTGTCAAGATAAAAATAAGGATCAACTGGTATATATATATATATATATATATTGTGTTACCAGGGTTACCAGCGAGCAGAGAAGATCTACTATGGTGCTTTGTGTGTCAACCTGACAAACAGGTCAGGAAGACAGAGGGAGCCGACCTGGAGTGAATGTGTGTATTACAGCGTAAAGCAGTAGAACAGGAAGTAGTACATTTGTACTTTCGAGTCAGACAAGTTGTTCCTTTTTTATTCCTTCTCTGTGGTCTGCAGCCCAAAAAAAAGAGATCATTCTGCTCTTTGCTAATGTGCATTTTAAGGATAGTAACCAGAAGCCTATCTTTAGAAGCTACGATGTATTGATGATGTAAAAGTCACTTATATGCTTTTATGTTTAACCTAATTTGATTATTTGTAATATCCTCCTTGTATTTTAACCCGATCCAACATGTATTTTTGTATTTGGAAGTTATTGCATTTATGATCAATACAAATCAACATTTGGAGCAATATAGTATGTGTTTACTTGACAATCCAACAGCTTTTTTCTTTATTTGCTATTTAAGCTTACCTCAAGTGGCCATTCAATGAACTGCAGTTTATTTTTCACTCCTGCATTAGCATACTTCTTCTGAACCGGTAGTTGCTGCTTGGCTATGACATACAATACAAAAAGGATGTGCAATGCAATTCTACTGGGTAACAGCAAACAGCTTCAAATTAAAAAATGTCAGAGGTTTAATGTCATATGTAAACATATAGTTTCCATTTGTACTCACTCACAAAATCAATCTTAAAGGTCCCATATTATTAGGGATGCACGATATTGGTTTTTTGAAACCGATACCGATACCGATAACTTCCTGCTTCTCAAGACCGATACCGATAACCGATAATAATATATATATTAGGGCTGTCAGTCGATTAAAATATTTAATCGCGATTAATCGCATGATTGTCCATAGTTAATCGCGATTAATCGCAAATTAATCGCACGTTTTTTATCTGTTCTAAATGTACCTTAGAGGAATATTTTTCAAGTTTTTAATACTCTTATCAACATATGAGTGGACAAATATGCTTTATGCTAATGTTTATTATCATTTGAACAATGACAAATATTCTCATGAATATTAAACACAACAACCTCTGAACATTACAAATATTCGCCTCAATTCAACCTGGAACCTCTCTCATACAATAATACAATACAAATGGTGTGTGTGTGTGTGTGTGTGTGTGTGTGTGTGTGTGTGTGTGTGTGTGTGTGTGTGTGTGTGTGTGTGTGTGTGTGTGTGTGTGTGTGTGTGTGTGTGTGTGTGTGTGTGTGTGTGTGTGTGTGTGTGTGTGTGTGTGTGTGTGTGTGTGTGTGTGTGTGTGATGGATCGTTGGAGCTATGTGCAACTCAAGGCATATGCTCGAACGGGAGCTGCCTGGACGCTGCAATCATGTTGCGCGCACTATCCGTGCTGAGTGTGCTGACTTTTCGTACAATGTCCCACTGTCTGGCTTCCTGCATAAAGTCAAGTGCTCGGCGCAGTTGTCGGAGAAATGTCGCTCCTCTGTTTTCATTTAAACAGCTCCTTATATCCGTTAGCGCAGCTAGCTAGCACCAGATGCTAACAACAACAATGCACGTAAGGTCTCTCTCTCGCTCGCTCGGGCCACACATACACACACCCTCCCGGTCCTCCCAACAGGCATGAGTTAGGGAGCGCTGGATTTGTGAAAAACTCCCCTCTTCCTAAACCACTAATACCACAGTACTGGCAAAACGGGAGGAGCCGAGTGAAAAACAAGCGCCCCTCATCCCAATCCACCCACACCGCAGTATTTTTTCTTTTTTTTTAACCAAAAAATATATTGTATATTATCGGGGCTATTAATACTTGTATCGGGTTTATCGGTATCGGGTATATTATCGGGCTGATAATTATCGTGCACCACTACATATTATACTTTATTTGAACAATATAATATAGGGCCAAATCTATACAAACATGTCTCTGAAGTGTTTTGCTCAAAATAACAAACAGATCCTCCATTATTGCCATGCCTCTATTTCAGCCTTGTTACAAAAGTGCTGATCCTGGGTCTGGCCCTTTCAATGTAACCGAGCTGCTGCTGGCCACGCCCCTTTGGAGCTGCTGCTGGCCACGCCCCTTTAGAGCGTCCACATGCAAGCGGTGAGCTCTGTTAAAAGAAGGCTGTCTACCAGCAGAAACTCAGCCAAACACTGCCGTGAAACGCCATATTATGTTCCAAACCATATCAAGCATTATTTCTGAAACAGTATGGAGCTCAAATGCTTTCTCTCTCACGGGTTTACCACAAGGACATTAACTTTTATATCGGGCTTCTTTTCACATATTCTCTCCAGCACAGCGTTAGCTCTGAGTGTTAGCGATGCTTGCTAATGTAAACACAGACCATATTACTTCCAGAACACGTTACGCATTTCCGATATGTCGTCAAGTCCGTAGCAAATCTGGATCAGCTCCGTTGTACCCCTGTTTTTAGAGATGTGAGTAAGGAGGAAAAGAGAGAGGGTTGTATTTTGTGACACTTTGTGAGTCTCCTTACACACAGAGGGACACATATTTATGTATAAAAGACATAAAAAAGTGCATTTTGCATAATAGGTGACCTTTAATAAAGCTTGTATAATGTATAAATGAGAGGCCTGCTCACATGATTCATCTATTCTCTTGATTTAATGGGGGGCTTTTAGTGCAGACAGGTAAAAGTAAAGCAGAGACACTTTTTCTGCTTCAAAGGGATGTCACAGTCGGTTGCTCTGGTTCAAAAGACACTTCTCTCAGACCTTTTGTTGTAGTATTTCTGTTAGTGCAGCAGCTTTTGTGGTTTTTAGCAGGATGTAAGGGTGTTGGTAATCTTAGATGCTCCTTAATCCAAAAACCACTTGCAGTGCCATTAAATAAGAAGAATATGTATCAGGTCAGCTTTAACAATACTTAAACTACAAATATTTGTGTAATTCATTTTTTTACTTTTTTATATTGCTGAATAAAGGTATTTAAAAGTGTTTGAATCCTTTAATCTCGGATGTAAAATCAATTCCTACATTTTCACAGCAAAATGATCCTTAAGACCTTGGCCTTTAGTAATAAGCCTACTGTAGAAACTGTTTTTCTTTTTTGAACAACTTCACTAAACCCGGAATGATTTACATTAGATGATTACACCATTGTTTTATTGACTAGCCAAAGCATACTTTCCACAAACTTATGACCCATGTACAGGGACAGTATATGAGAATAATTTGGAAACTTGACACTGACATATGCATAAACATTTTATTACAGTTTATTCTCCCTACTTTTAAATATAGCACAAGATAAAGAGCCATTGCGTTCTTCATGTACCTTTCACCAAGTGAATCTTCTCAAGAACTAAACTTGAAACTATAGATGGCAGTGAACATGTGATCAAGTTTTTTTTAAGTAGGAGGTACAAAGTCACTTCAGGCTGGCCAATCAAACGCTGTCTTCTGTCTTAAGAGTGGAGAGAGTATCGAAATCATTTTCACTGAACTCAAGAATTAGAACAAGATGACGTCTCCAAAGTTGGTCTTATATCTGACGTGTTTGTTCTTGGGAAAAATCGGTGAGTTGTATTTTTATGCCGCTCACCTTTTTAGCTACTTTTCATTTAAATGCTTTTAATATTTTTTATTTAAACAATGTGCTGAAATAATCTATTGTAATTATTAAAGTATGTCTTTCACTCTTATTTCAGCTCTGACGACTAATCGGAAAATATCTTCAAGTGTTCAACAAGAGAAACGTTTTATATCTGCTAATGTTGGAGAAAATGTGACTTTGCCATGCTACATTGAAGACTGTGATACAGATTGGCTTTACTGGTTCAAACTAACTTTGGGACAGAAACCGAGGATCATCTCTACCGCCTATAAGTATAACGCAAAACCCACTTTTTATCATGAATTCAACAATTCACGCTTCACACTTGATCACGGAAAAAGTACAAATCACTTGACAATTTTAAATTTGCACATTTCAGACTCAGCTACTTACTACTGTGCATTTGCCGTTCAATATGTGTTGAATTTTGCAGAAGGCATTACAATCAGTGTCAAAGGTTCAGGTTTGAACATCCTACCTTCGGTCCATCAGTCAACATCTGAGATCATCCAGTCAGGAGACTCTGTGACTCTGAACTGTACAGTACACACTGGCAGCTGTGATGGAGAACACAGTCTTTACTGGTTCAAACACTCTGAGGACTCTCCAGGACTCCTTTACACCCGTGGAGGCAGGAATGATCAGTGTGAGAGGAAACCCAACACACAAACACACACCTGTGAATACATCCTGCCAATGGAGAGCCTGAATCCTTCTCATGCTGGGACCTACTACTGTGCTGTTGCCTCATGTGGACACATACTGTTTGGAAATGGGACCAAACTGGACTTTGAAGGTAAGCAAATCACTCAATTATTTAATGAAAAGTAATGTATGTCTAATTCCCAATCACACACTTTAAACACAAAGATAACACTCTGTTTTTGGTGTTTACTCTCTACAGATGAGGTTGACTCTCTTGTGTATTTCTTAAGTGGAGCTTTAGCATTCAACTCCATTCTGGTCGTTTTACTGGCTTTCTTAGTGTACACGATGAAAAAGATTAACAGCTGCCAATCAACAGGTAACTTGTAATTATTGTATGTGTCTGAAAGCTTGTTTGCATCCAATGAAACTTTTGGAGGAATACAAATTCTGTCTTTCAAATGTCTTTCCAGAGTCTGAAGCAAGATTATCAACTCCCTTTACAGCAAATGCAGAGGTGAAATGTATCTCAATAAGTTCAATTTTTATCGATTACATTTTTACTTCTATTCAATATCTTTATCCATTTATATTTATTTTGTCACCAGGGGTACCGCGATGCAAACTGCCTCCATTATGCTGCTTTAAGTGTCAATGTGCCCAGCAGATCAAGACGACAGAGGAACATCAACAACGATGAATGTGTGTACTCTGGTGTTCAGCTGTAGACCTACTACACATTACTTGTGTTGATTTAAAATAAGATTCAGTCATCTTTCAAATGTAAAATAGAATTAGAAGTAGATTAAGAGATAAATGTATTTTCCTAGTGGTCTGTGCTACAAAATTGCAGCCATATATTCCTAATTTAGTTCAAATTTGGTACCAATTTGTAGATGATGTTAGACTTTTTTTTAAGTTTCCTTAACCTTAGCCAAAATAACTTGTCATAACATATCTTTTTTAAATCATCTTTTAGTTTCATGTATTCATATTTTGTAGAAAACTAAAATGTTGTGCTTTATATGCTTTTTTCTGTCCATTGTATGTCATGTCATGATCAAAAAGGGCTAATTTATTAAATGGACTCTTTCATCTTGAGAAAATATCTTATATGCATATGTGTTCACTTCCTCATATGGCGATATCTCTTTTTTTGACAATCTTCAGACCTCTTTTTATATATTTTTAGCTTGTTCAATACTATGACAAAATAAAAAAGGGTATGCTTTTCACAAAAGTGTGGAGATCAGATTTTACTTTACTGATCTATACTCCTATGGACATTTAAGATAGAGTATGGCATTAAGACTAAATAGTTTGGTTATGCAGCAGATTGACCGACGAAGTATGAACTAAAGAAAAGGACTTAAATACAATCTAATCAAACCAACCCACTCTCTTCAGTCTGCGTACAAATGACACGACTTTACACATTGGAAATGCGTGCAATAGATACGCAGAAGTCCGATTTTGCGTTCATATGATACGCTAACCATTCCCATTGCAACCCTGTCTCCTAAAAATTACATTCCCACAGAACTAAACTGCATTCTCAATTACGTTTAGCTAGAAACTTGTTTTCTCCCACGTTACGTTTGTTATGAACGTATCTTAAATACGTTTATTTTCTACATATCTTTGCCATTTATTGTCTTGCTTATAATAATGATGATAGTCATTTATAAATATAATTTTAGAGCACACCTTTGAAATCTACAATCGGGCTCGATATTGTGGTGACCACCTATTAATACACTGGGACATAATTCATACATGGAACTACAGTTGGGGCTATTGTTCCCACACGGACATGTTATGTGTTTACTATATATGTTGTGTGCCCTCCTGACTTCACTCTCTTGTCGACCCGGGCTGCGACCCGACAACATGTCCTTTGCAGCTTGTGAATAAATCTTAATTCTTGCACCTTCCTTGCACCGCCTCTGACTCCATATCTCTCGGCACTACAATATATAGTTAAATTAAAATCTGTTGGCGAGGCCGTAATTTTGCCAGCTGTTACTCTCATGAGCGAGGCGGAAAATAATAGTTTTATCATGCCAAAAAGCTGCTGTGTCGTTTATTGCACCTCAAACATTAAAACAAATCCAGAGTTACGTGTTTCTGTACTTCCTCTAAGAAGAAAGGACAGTAAAAGAAGAGCTCTATGGCTTCAGGCTTGATCGCCGTTCAAATGACAGCGTTGGTTTCTCCAAAAGTGGGCGGGGCTGTAAAGTGATCATCTATTGCTCAAAACCATTATATTTATTCTAACGTAAATGACATGCCAGTGTTTTATCTTTTTATTTAGCTATTTGTTTTTGCATGTTTAACTGGGAATGTTTTCATGTTGAACCGGAAATACGTCACTTCGTCTTCTTCGTCCCTTTTACGTCCCTTTTATGTTCCAGACATGGCTCACATGGATGTATATGTATAATAAGCAGTGGCGTTTTCTCCCGGAGGCCAAGGGAAGCCAGGCTTCCCCTGTTTTTTCGGATTGTAGTTATAATTTAAATAAATAAATAAAAACACTTTGTTTTGTTTCGATAATTCTGCTTTGCTGTGTGTTGCTGCCGGCCCGTCTCTCCCCCATTCTCATTGAGTATTTTACAAAGAGTGAAACAAACAGCGCTCCTCTAGATGTTATGGTAAACAGTAGATTGCACTCACTGTTGCGAGAGGAGGCCAGCCGAATCTGACTTCCTTTGGTGAAAAAAAATGGAGGGATTGACCAATCAGATGAGGCCCACGTGATGCCCCTGCCAACCTGTGATTGGTCAGGGCCATGCCAAGGGAAGCCAGCCGCCTCTTGCTTCCCTTCAGAGGCGGCTGGCGGCTGGCAATTTGATTGGACACTGCCATCCAATCAAATCACATCAACATCAGTTTTAATACTGTAACTGTCATCACCGCCGTTAGAAATTATCAAGCAAATGAAGCATTATGGAGGGTGGAGATTTGGCGTACTTAATCAAACATAACTTTACTAAACTTCCGCTGCAGCAGCAACTAAAAATTAAATCAGATGACAGGCCAATGCCCACACTCGAGCTGTGTGTACACAGAGGAAAAAGGGAGATAATCGGACGTTCAATGAGGACAATTATGTCCGCACGGAGTGGCTAACTGGAAGCGCTAAACTTCAGCGTCTATTTGGCTGGCCATGTCTTCTTTTTGACAAGGATTCGTGCTCCCTGAACAATCCTTGGGCAACTTCAGGATTCATCGACCTTGCCAACCTGTCACGGGCAACTGAGAGGCACGGTAAATCCAAAAATCACATAGATTGTGTTATTGTCTGCATACATTAATAAGTAAAATGCTTAAATTAATAAGGAGAGAGTTTCAGCTGGAGAGTGCGTGCGGACCTGTCGGTTAGATAACAGGCGTGTGCAAGTCCTGCATCTGTGTGATACAAATGTGTGTCAAATGATACCGGGCGCTGTAATCACTCATCTGGTTACGTTATTGACCGCCCCCCGACCCAAAAAATGGGCTTCCCCTACATTTTTCCCCACGCCACGCTACTGATAATAAGAACACACAAACCCACTGAACTGACTACCCAAGATCCTCAGCTTGAAGCTTGGGATGTTTTAGCCGCAATGCACGTTGGGATTAGTTAATGCGATATGATATCCGAAAAATTATTCAGAGTTTAGGATGGCCGAAGACACTACACTACCCATAATCCCCAGCTATCGTTTGGGACTACAGTCCTGTTGACAAACCCTGTGATTAATCTTCAAGCTCTGGGATTAGATGTTGGAGTGGCAGTGCGCCAAGGTTACGCCGAGCGTCAAACAGCTCTTTGTAATGGAACGAAACCACGGCAGACTATCCAAAACTGGACTTGAACGCCCCCCGCAGAACTACACATGTTATTGCTATTGTGTTTCGCAACATGTTCTATGGCACATCTCTACTGGGAATTGTAGTTTTAAAAGACGTTTTCGTTTTTCCCAAAATTAGAAGTTGACAGTATTAAACTGTGTACAGCCCTGGAGGTTTAGGCGATAGGAAACAAATTTGTGTGTACAAATTTAAAACATGTAATTACTAAATGGGTGAAAATCGCTTGTGTCCATATTGGGCAGCATTAATATATACCCACACGACAGCTCATTGTTACTTTGTAATTCTACTCCACTACAATTCAGAGGTTAACCTGGTATTTTTACTCCACTACACTTATTTGAGTTACTTTGCAGATTCTGATTAATGATGTGAAATATAAACAACCCTTAAATCAGACTTTAGTTACACCTCAGTAAAATTCAGGGAAAGGTGATTGTCAAGTGCCAACAATCAGGAGAGATATTTGATAGTTGGTGCTTGAGAAGACTAAACATTTATCTGCAGATCTCTATAATGTATATTCATTACTCGTTATTCTCTACTAATAGTTAATTAAAGACTGTATAATTGCTATTTTGCACATCCCTTTCAAGATTTCAAGATTTTCAAAGGTTTATTGACATATCATATACACAACTACAGTGTAGTTATGCAATGAATGAACAACTTGGGTCACAGTTTCCTCAACAGTGCATTACAAGACATCTATCAATATGTGTGTATACCTCCACCATTAAACTGTCATATTCTGCACCTTTCTTATACTATCTACATACATAAGAGTATAATTAATGTGTATAATATCAGTTAAAATAAGTGCTTCAACATAGTTAACATTGCAGAAAAGCAATATATTAGACTTTAAGTACCTTGGCAGGCTTAATATTTATGTGTAAATACCCCCAAAGCTTTTTTCTTATTTAACCAGTTTAGCCCTGAGCCTGTTTTTCAGGTCTCAGGCTCGAAAATGACATTCCCAGAACAAATGACCATAATATTCCCTTCTAAAAGGGTTAAATTAATACTCTTTTTTCTCAAAGTAATGATAAACCTGTGAGTTGGATGTAGAAAAGTCAGAATCAATATAGATGTTTTTTATTTTAAAGAAAATGTTGCTGATTGACATCTCTTTCTGACCGTTGGAGCCAATATAATTGAAGGGGGATTTCCCCACACGAACACACACATGGTAAAACAAAAAGGTGGAGGCTTCTTGAAGCTATAGAGCTATAGCTCTAGCTCTGACATCTGGAAACGGAAAAGCAGGGTTTATTGCTTATGGATTATCAAAAATCATTCAAAGGGACACAGACACATTGGATTAACCTATGGATTAACTTCAGCAGTGTTTTTATCGTTTTAATGCCATTGAAGACCACTTTTGACCAGACTACGACGCAGGTAAGCCATGTTAGCGTTTTTAGCTACCTAGCGCCACATGTTTTGATGTCTGTTCTTGTTATTATCTCCGCGAGTTCGTATCATTGAGTGATAATGTCTGCACCCATCGATTATGTGTCATCTCACGATGTGAAACGATGTGTTGGATGTGCAGCAAAGATAAATAATAAGGTTTTGTGAGTGAATTTCGGTGCACTCGTTGCTAATTCAGAGGCTCAGCGTTAGCATTGTGGGTTTTTAAAAATAAATAAATAAAAATTATCAGTTAGATGAGTTTATTCCCGTTGCATGGATATAAAACATTCATAGTTTATTAAATGAACATGCCCTCAGACACTGTTTCCTGCAAGATGTTGTGGGAGGGCCCCGGTACCGGGGTCTCTCGGGCTTAACAGGTTAAAAGAAGACCTTAACCTAAAGTATTCTTTAATGTGTTAATAAAGGTTAATTAGTTTGTCTGTTTTGCACATCCTCATATTAATATCTTTATACATCCAGCACTAAACTGTTTTATTGTAGAGATCACTTACAGTATCTTCTTGATTTTTTATATTCTATATTTCTATCATTGACCTTCTACTTTCCCCCTATGAAAGTTTGTACTCTTAATATTTTTTCATCAAATAACATTATTCAACAAAAATAACATTCAACAAAAATAATTCAATAACGTGCTTTAACCACTAGGCGGTGCCCACAAGGTACACACAGCATACTAATAATAACTTTGTATTATTTGTGTAGTGTATGTATAACATCTGAAGATGTGTAGTTTTATTCATGTTTTTACATAATTGTACAGGATATTGCTATACCATTTCTCATGTTTTACATCTAACATTAATATCTGATTTGTAAAACATCACAGACAGAAATGTATCCGTCATTTAATGGTAAGCTATTGCAAATGTGATTCCATAGATGTGTCTCCCATCACCCAAATCCCCTGACTATTCTCTCAACTCAGTATATTACATTCTTATATTCAAAGAAAATCAGCAATATCTTTAAAAACTACAAGTCCCTTTCTATCAGCTGTGCACCGTTATGGTGTAAATATAACCTATCTACCAATTGGATCAAATATAAAAGTCAGCCGAATTAGTATTGATACTGCAAGGAGACGTATTTTGTGAAAATAAATGTAAGATGTTGTGTAATTGCTGATATATTTATGATTCACGTCACATATTCAGTTTCGGCGGCAGTTCTTCCTGTTCGTCCAGAAGTCTTCTCATCAGGGCTCTATAAATAAAGAACTACGGCAGATGTGTAATATTTTATGCAGCCGAACCGTGTATTACAATGCCGTTATGT